ATGACAATATTTTCAAAAATCCTTATAAGAAAATAATTAAGTATTCATATGATAAACTAATCTAACCATGTTTTTGCTATAGCATATTATTATATCTGATGTTAAGCTATTAAAAAAATAAAACATTATTATATAGTGAGAACTTTAAGATAGTATTTTGTATCTTAAAGTTGGAAACAATAATATGAATGAGCCATTGACTCACAAATCTTGAATTTGAAATGCAAGAACATAGTTTACAGTAAACTATATTAATTTAAAATGCATTACCATTACTGTCATAAGCTTATATATTCTAAATTACCAGGAACTTATTAAAAAAAGAAACCATTTTATTCACTTTCAACCAAAAATGCCATAAAATCATTAAACATGTTTTTAATAGTTCTATCATAAGTAGCTACCAACTTTATCAGAAACTATGAAATGGCTTATTCTGATTTAGTCAATACACAATTTGGGTTTAATGAAGCTATTTTCAAATTATATATCACTTCAGTATCTTTCCAAATACTGATTTTAGCTTTAAAATTTATGTCCCTGAAGCCTCTGTAAACCCAAGTTATTATATACAACATTATAGTGAATAGAGACTACCAAAACCTTCCACTATTATTAAACCAACCCTGGAAATAATTTGCTGTTGTGCAGGTCATATCTAGGTACTACATCCAAATAAATAAAATTTACTAGTATACATAAAGAAAAAAATCATATCCCCGCACATCAATTACCTATATGGATTTTCTAATAATTCTGTATTTTATAAATACATATTTAGTGGTCATAAGTTTAAAACTTAACATAAAATCTGTACAGAAACATATTTAATTGGGCACTGCAACTTTCAAATGAAATCTTACCCATTGTATCTTACATGTAATACAGTTATGTTTCTACAGAACTCTTCACAAATGTAATTGCCTTAACTAGACATATTGTTTCTCTCATTTAACAATTCTACTAAAGAAATGATGTCACTTGGGAAATCAGTAGGATTGTTTCTTGAATGCAGTATTGAAAAGTAAAATAAATGCCTTAAATGGAAGAAAATACTTATTTCCAGAATGCTTGTATATAGCTGGCAAATTCTCTTATGCAGTAAATTGAACCAATATACAAATATAAATATATTAAATAATATAAAATATAAACATATAATAGGAGACAATTTCAAGAAAAAAAAATGCTAAGGAAATCTTGTAAATTTCTTTTCACTGGCAATATATTAGATCATACTTAAATACTATTAGCATACAATGTAATATTAGCAATGAGGAAAGTTTCAGTAATAGAATGAAACATAATAAATGTTAACTCTTGTATGCTGTTCTTAAATATATTTTCACTGGAATTTCTAGTTGTTACCTACTGACTTACCTAGTTGTTTTATGATAATTATAAAATTAAAAATTCTAATTAAACGATCTCAAAATCAGTAACATATTACCTAATTTAATATTAGCACTTTCAGGAATTATTAAAAATGGCTGCCTATAGCTACTACTCATTTACATTGTAGAATTCACATACTGTAAAAGTGCTGAGAAATCTAGAACGTTTTGGAAACTTGAGCCTCTATCAATATTTCATTTAAAACTGAATTAATTCCAGTTTAATAGAAATAGGCTGAAAATAAGACTGCATGAATTCATACATGCAGTAGATCTGTAATAATGTGATACCAATATACTTGGTTTGGAAATTGGGCTGTTGGACCAAATTGAAAAATTATTTGCCGCAACATGTCATTTTGATTGCTTAGTCCTTGTCAAATGTATATATCAGATACTCAAGGTAGTAACACTTTTTCTTTTGCATATTATGTCATTTAATTATGATTCATTCACAATAAAAATTCATGGGTACATTTTTTCAGACTAATTTTAAATAATTTATAATGTGAAATGTTAGCTAAGAATACACACAACAGCCATAGAATAAAAAATCCTATTTCTTAGATGGGAAGGGTTTTTTATTACACTTTATTTATCATTAGTTATCAGTGCGAGTGAGTGTAGTAATAAAGATTAAGCTAAACAAATACTACAGGTCAAGAGGACACATTTAAATTACAATTTATGAAAAATAAACATTCATTACACACACTTCAAGGATGGAGAGAAATTTGTAAATTTAGCAGTTTTTTGCTAAAGATTTTTCTGGAAAAAAAACCTCGGAAAACCAATTAAGACAAAGTGGGTTTTTTTAAAAAAAATATGTAAGAATATCATACACATGAAGCTTTCTTCTGTCAGTTGCCAAGAAAGATTTGGATCATTGACTGGAACTTAATATTCAGTTTACAGATATTTATTACAGAAGAACACAAGAAAAAAGAAACCAACAGATTTCTCTTTTCAAAAATGAAAAGGTTTTAGTTTTAAAATATGCTTTTAATAATTTTAAGATACAACTGATGGAATTATATCTTCAAACTCAGAAAAACTCCTCCTCTTCTTTCTATAGGCTACTGTAAACCAATAGAAAATGCTCCATTTTTAAAAATCTTTCCTATTAGATATATTTATCCATTTATAGAAATAGCAGGAGAGTATTTTAAACAATGAAAGTATTATTTTCCCTTTCTTTACTTTTGAATATAAAAAGGTGCATAACAGAAAATGTTTATACTCCTTCAAAAGTACATCCATTCATATACAAGGATTTGGAATTATGAAAAATATCCAATTTTTTCAATAACTATAACAGGATTTCATTAAAATGTTATGTTTTTTCATTTTAAACTTGAAATAAGTTAACTAAATATTGATAATTTACTGTAAATACTGTAAATAAATAGTATTAAGTGAAAAGTATAGAATAGGTAAATTTTGTATTTACTTTCTCCCTGCTTGTTCACAGAAGCATTATATTACTAAGGCCTTTAGCTTTTAAAAAAATGTAATCTTCAAAAAAAACCTCCACCATTAAAGATCTCTTAAGCAAAAATGTTATTCCTGTAAAACAAGTTATTTGCAAGCACTATTGGATAACAGAATATGTATTTTTCCTAACATCTTCCAATTGTATAAACTTTTTGCATTATTTTATGTGAAAGGAATATCACTAACCCAAGCAACAAAAAATCAAAGTAAATATGTGAATATTCTTGTGTTTTAAACTTAATTTCTTATGTCTTAAATACAACACAAGTACACTGATTTTGATATTAATGTTTAAAACCATCTTAATCTTTTTTCCAGAAAGAACTGGCGCCCCTTAGCGTTCACCTCTTAAAACATTTAAATCATTCACTTATTTGCATAGGACATTTTTTTTAACATTCCAGAAAGTTTTCAACATTTGCAGTTCTTCCACCCAGAAGCCAATGCAAACAGAGGAAAACAGGATTTAAAGGGCTACTAAAAAAAAAGAGAGAGAGAGAACAGCAGTACAGGAAAAAACGTATATAATATTGGGACAAGTAGTTTGACTTTTGAATTATTAGTTTTTTCCAGTTCTTTTTTGGGACTTGCGAAAAAACTGACAATTCAAAGCCTTCAATGCTTCAAGAGCATTCAAAAGATTCAGTGACTTAATACATTCTTGAAATAGTCACACCAAAAATATTCTCATGGGCTCTTCTTACAGAATCTTTAGAGTTCTATTCTCCTATGATGATTCCAGAAATTTTTAGTCGTTGTTAGAGCTGTGATAGTTATTTTTAAAAAGGAATTTATACTAAACTATTCCCATGTTTATACTCAGAAACATTTTTACTTGATATCCAGGGTATGTTATTAATTTTCATCTAAACTAAAATTAGCCAAATGCAAACCTAATCAACTGCTATTTGAACAATATCCTTCCAAAGGAACCCAAATATGTCACATTTCAGTTACAGCTATGAATATGCTTCTCCAACAGTGAAGATTAAACCATCTCAAAGGGAACCTGAAAAGCACTAATTCTGTCTAATTCACAAATGATGAGGAAACCAAGTTTCACCTATCTTCTTAAAATATGAAAGTTTCAAGATGTTTTAGAAGTGGATTTTGACGGAATTTTATTCTGAACATACGTTCAAAACTTTTATATTTAAGGTATATTTTATGACATTTCTAACTGAATTCTCAAACCAAATAATTTGTTTAAAATTTGCAACATTTGAAATTACTTATTTTGCGGAAACCTAAATCTGCAGAAACTTCGGTCTGCAAACTTACTTACTTGCCCCAACCTTGCACCTTCTCTTGGAATTCAACTACAGACAGGAGATCGAGATTACGCACACGGCCTAAAACTACCAACGGTTATTCAGAGACTCCAAAAATACTTTTCGCGTTGACTTTTGATAGTCAAATCGAGAATCACCCAGTATGTCCTTCACGGTAGAAGCTAATAAAGTTCGTAATATTTATTCGCAGACATAATACTTTTGTCTTTTTAGGCCGACAACCATCCCAATATTGAATAAAATAACTGAGTCCCTCAAGTTTCTCCCGTTTTTTTCACATTCCTCCGCCCAACCTCAAAATAAAAATCAGCCATGTACAGTTTAGGCTGAAAGACTAAGTTGCTTAAAAGTATTTCATAAACATACCATCGGGCCTACTGTGCCTTTCATACTTTCAATGAAGATTTAAGAACTGAAAATGCTATAATCCTATTAAAAAAAAAACTTTCTCCTCTCCCAACTTTTTTCTTCTACAAAATATAATTTTATATACTAAGTTTGCCGATTAAAAAGTATCTACACAGAAATTAAGATAAGGTAGAGAGTTCATAGTTCCCTAAAGGCCAAAACTTCTGCGTGTAGACTTCCCGCTTCTCTTTGTTTATGGGCAAAAGAGGCGAAGCCAAAAGACGCCATTGAGGGGGCGCAAAGCCTCGTCCGCCCCCATTTGCAGGATAGGAATGGGAAGGGCAAAGCGGATCTATGTCGCGGAGAGGCCCAAAGTGTCGGGGCAGGGGCACCATTATCCCCCTTACCCTCAGACCTACAAAAAAGAGTTAGTTCTGGGGTTTTCGTTTGACTTCTTGTAATTGCGTTTTACCTTCGTCCAGCAGCCTCTCGAGGTGGTTGAATATCCCGCAGAAGTTAGGGAGGCTGCTCATGAGCTTCTTGTCGTTCATCAACTGCATCAGGTAATCGGGGCTCGGCTTGGGCTTCTCCTTCGTTTCCATTTCCCCAACCATATTCCAAACAGAGAGCGAGCGAGCGCCCGCACCAGTACTCACCCAACCACCGCACTGGGTGTACGCCAGGCGGGGAAGAAACGGGGTGTGTATTGTGGGCTGAGGGGGGGAGAGGCCTCTTCCCCCCCTAGGAAAACAGGAGAGCGGAAAAAAGGGGTCTCGTCAACGAAGAAGCCACAACCACGCCGCGGCGGGTCTCGGACGACGGAGGAAAATAAAAGGGGGGAACTCGATGACCGCCACTCCAAACCCTCCTCGGCCGCTGCCACCACGGAGGGTTGCGCCCTAGTCGTCTTCCACCCCGATTGTACAGTGATCCTCCTCCACCACCGCTGCTGCTTCCTGTCGCCGCTCCCACTGGATGCCTTTCTCCAAAGCGGCGCAGTCTTCGGTAGTTCCCCCTCCTCTCCCTCGCCGCACACGCAGACGTTGGTCGCGGCTCCCTTTTCTCGGCGCTGCTGCCCCCTGGTCTGTCTCCGCGGCAGGGAGGCAGGCAAAGGGGCGGCGGACTTGGCCGTTTCCCGAGGAGTCCTCGCGGCTGCTACCACCGCCGCCGCCGCCGCGTATTGTAAGGCTGTTCCCGGCCACCGGCGGTGCTTCCGTTGTTGTTGTTCCCACCGCTGCTGCTGCTGGCAGTTCCGCCTCGTCTCCCGCGCCGCCTTGCCTCCCTCCCCTCCCGCTTCTGCCGTTTGCTTGAGGCTGACGACTCTCAGCCCCGCCGCTGCCGACGCCGTGGTGCCTTCTCCTCCTCCTCCTCCTGCCTCCTCCTCTTCAGTTCGCTCTGGAGTTCGCTTCAGTTCAGGCGGCGCTGGCAGCGGCGGCAGCAAGCAACGACGGCGGGGAGGGGAGGGAACAGAGGGGCAGGGAGGGGGCAGCGGAGGAGCAGAGGCGGGGCGGCCGTTAATCAGCGACGGCAACGGTAGCGGCGGCAGAGGCGCCACTTGGCAGATCCACTCCGCCCCGCCCCTCCAGCTTGCCTGTGAGCGACTGGGGACTCGGTTGACGGCCGGCGGTGAGCGGAAGGGAGCGCGCCCCTCACACCCACACCCGTGTGATATGCCTGGGCTTTGGAGTGACGGGGCGCGCTACAGCGCGCCTCCGAGAGCTCGCGCCGCTGCCTCGTACTACTTTTACGCGCGAGGTGGTTGCGCGCGTGCGCGTGATCCCTCCTTTCCCCTCCCCGCTTGCCGCCCTACCGATTTTTTTTTTTGTTGTTTTGTACAGAAATCCCGTACGCGACCGCACGGGAAAGAAACTGAACAAACTCTGGCTACTTCACAGATCCGGTGTTGGGGCGGGGCTCGGTCACGTGGTGCTAGCGGGAGGGGGTGGAAGAGCCCTGATCTGGTTGCGCTGCCTCTGAGGCGCAAGCGCGCCGCGTTTTTCTGCCACCCGCGATTCGCACGAGGGTGCGCGCCCGCGCGCGCTTTCAATTGTGTAGCGCCCTTTATTGAGGTTTAGGATTGAAATGGGAGAGGCGGGGTTGAAGTGAGTATTGTGCGCTTGCGCGAGAGGGAAGGAGACAGACGAAGGGGGTCGGGGGGGGTGCACCAAGAAGGGGGGTGATGTTCGTCTGTGTCGAGTAGCGGCCGCGAAGGCAGGGAAAGCGCGGCTATTAAGCAAGGCACCTTCTCCGCGGCGAACAGCACTGGAAGCGGAGAAGCCGAAGCGCTTCCCCGTGCAAAGTTTAGCTCACCCGTTCACTTAGGTATCTTCCGACCGCACGCGGGGTGCCCCCCCCCCACGTCCCAGCGCGTACGGTGGGAAGTCAATGCTTTTACATTGTGGATGGTGGTCCGGACTTCTGGCGATGCAGACACGGCCCGTTGCACTTCTTGAGAGACTGGCTGGGAAGTTGGGCAGCGTCGGCTCGCTTTCCTTTCCGTCTGCTTGGCAGCCCCCCCTCCCTTCCTCTGCGCGCCAGAGGCCTTGGGCGCGGCGGCCTGCGTGGGTTCCCTTTGGGGGTGGGGGAGGCCTCCGTGAAAAGCTGTCTATCTCTGCTGGCTCGTCTCTTTTTGACCTAAGCTCATTTTCCTGCGGGAAGTTCTATCGAGGGTTGAGGCGGTCTTCCAACGCTTTAAGTAGCCGGCAGGGCTTCACCGCCGGAGCAGAAAGGCGGGAAAACTCTCTTTTAGTATTAACAAAAAAAACAAAACAAAAATCCCCAACAGCTGATTCGGATTTGAGGTTTCTTGACTAGCCGGGAAGAAGCCGAGTAGCCGGTTCCACGCCAAAGCCGCCGCGGCCGTTCCTTTCTCGCTTCTTCAGACGAGGGCGCTTAGCCTAGCCATCCCAGCTGCCCTACTCTCTAGTAAATCCCACTGAAATGAATGAGCAGTTCTGCCGAGAAACCGCTGCCGGGCTGGAGCCTTCCAGCCGCCTGGAAGTCCCCGTCAAAGCCTAACGCTTCCTGTGGTCGCGAGTATCTTTAGAAACCAACTTCCCGCCCAGACTAGCAGCTTGAATGAATTCTTTCCTTTTGGAGGGCCGCGGGGTCAGCCGACCTCCTATCGAATCTGCACCTTATTTTCCCCGATTTCGAGGTAGTCTGCAAAGAAGACGTGCCTCCGCTCTTTTTTTTTTTTTTTCCTTTTTTACCTTTGTTAAATACTTTCACGCCATCAGTCAACTTAAGTAACCAGAGTTTTTTTTTTCTCTCCCCAGCCCAACAGTACCCACATTTGCACTTCTTACGCGCCCCCTGCAAAGACTTTTTATCGCTGCATTCTTAACTTCCATCCATGTTTCTCGTTAGAAGTAGTGTGTAGTTTACAGCTGCCTGCATGCTGAATTTTATTTCTACAAAACTGAATAAAAAAAGGAAAGGAAGGGACTTAAGATATAGAAGAGAATATAGTTAGGTTTTATTATCGATGTAGCCTAGTGCTAGACCCATATTTCAGAAAATCTGATTGATTTCAAAGTGGCATGCCAAGCACCTGCCACTCATTTATTTGGAAGAATGGCTCACTTTGTTTAACAACTGGTTTTATTCCCCATGGAAGCTTAATCAGTAGTTCTATTGACAGTGTGTTTCACTGAAACCTGATGCATAAAAACACAGTAACAAATAGCAATGAATTCCTTTGTATGCTTTTCTGTATTTTAACAAGGATATTGATAAAATTGACCACATGGAGCAATGCCAGTGGTTTAGGTTTATTTTTACATTCCGTTAGAAATCATGTAATTGTTTTGACTCTGAATCAAAATGCTGTCATTCTTTCCCAAGAACTAATGTGTGTACTAATGTTGTTCAGTGTTATTGTTAATTTAAACATTTGTTCAAAAACTTTGAAAACAAAGTAATTTCTGTCAATACTGATTATATAGGGTTTTTTTAAGGAGCAGAAGAAAAGGAATTTGGTTGAATTAACAGATCCTTTTCTCCTTTTGGAGAATATCTGTATTCAATATGTATATTAAAAGAAGAACATATAAAGCAACCCCATTTTAGCATGATTTATTAAATGTGTTGCCACTGCTTGCCACAATCAAATCAAAACTAGGTATATTACAGTCCAATCCTAGACCTGTTTCCTTAGTCCTTCCATTGACCTTAGTGCACTTCTTAGTAAATATTATGGGGTATTATTGCCTGATGATTTAAAGATAAGAACTAACAGTTAATGGGCTGATCTCACCCTGTCTGCTTTGGCATCACTTCACTGGCCTTTCTTTTGCAGACCTGAAATGTCAAGCAGAAAAATGTCTTCAGAGTAGTATTTCAGACTTCAACTGATTTGATTAATATGATTAATAAACATGACTTAGGAAGCAGGAACTTCTACTTATTTGTTGCTTTTTATTAGAACTATAGGCATATTCTTTTACTTTCTGTCGTGTAGATTTATTTCTTACATATGTGTGCAGACCATGCTGTTCTCATTTTCTTTTCAAGAGGATTCCGATGCTTTCAAGAGTATTGTTTAATATTCTTACTAGGCAACTGCCCAGATTGCCATGGGATTAGTCTGCTTCCCATTGAAATAGCAACAAAAGGGAGACACGGTTCCTCATGTGACTGTTGCACCAAATTTGATGATCACATATCCCTGGGTGTGACCAAATTTGCAGCTTTGTTCTCTTAGCTTCCTTCCTTTTCTTACTCTAAAATAAATAAATAAATATTGCTCTAGTGTGCAATCATCTTTTTAAAAACATCTCAAGGTAGCTGACATGGTAATAGTGGTAGACTATGCTAGTACATGAGGGCTATTTCATGTACTGTGTTATCTACTTTCTCTTAGGTATATTTCAAATATTTATTCATGGATCAATATTTATTTGACTCTGCAGACACCCTGAAATGGTCTTAGGGACTCCGGTAGTCATCACACCACACTTTGAGTATTCTTGTTCTGGAACAATATTTCTTGAACTTTTCAAGGCTACAGAATATCCAGCACTTTAATAAGCAATGTTTCTTTAAAAAAAACAAAGGAATGTTGAAATAAAATTTACTGTTAATGTTTATTTTTCTGTATCTTTCATACATCAGCTATAAAATTTAATAGAATGTATAGTGTTGTTTTGTGTTTGTTTGGGTGCTTTATTTGAATCAGTTTTTGATTCCTGCCAACTGCCTGGAGAAGTTTCTGCAATTTTCTTGGCAAGTTTTTCAGAAGTGGATTGCCATTGCCTCCTTCCTAGGGCTGAGAGAGAATGACTGGCCCAGGTTACCCAGCTGGCTTCATGCTTAAGACAGGATTAGAACCAGGGTGGATTTGACTTAAATCAGGTCGATTTAAATCACAATTTAAATAGTGATTTAAATCACTAGCAAAAAGGCTTGATTTAAATCAACTTGATTTAAATCATAATTTTTAAAGAGCAACTATCATCTCTGTCTCGCAGTGGCTCCTCTGACCCGCTGTTGACTCACCGACAGGCCCATTCACTTTAATGGGATTGCTGGTGATGTGGCAGTAACACAGCAAGGTGAGGGACGTGGCGGGCAGGTGAGTGGATGCCCACTAACGGGCACTGCCATGATGGATCTGAAATGACAGGTGCTCTTTAAATGTAATGATTCATTCTTGCTGGTAGTTAGAATCTTTAATACTATTATTTGCAAACAAAATGAAGGTTTACTATTTAGAATAATAAGCTGTCGGGTTAGTAAAACAGCGATATCAGAACCGATTTTAGGTTAATAGGTTAATCACATATAACATGTTTCCCCAAAAATTAGACCTACCTTGAAAATAAGACCTACCCTGATTTTTGGGGGTGGGCCTAATATAAGCCCTACCCCAAAAATAAGCCCTGCCCAGTCTACCCCATCTCGCTGCCGCAAAGGAGCAGCAGTGCATGTCACGCCGCTGCCACAACAACGAGGCAAGGCAGGTGGAGGGTGG